TCCACCGCAAACTGATGACCCTGAATCTTTAGTGGTAGGCCCATGCAAATGCTATTGCAAGATAGGCTATTACCGTTGGCCACATGAACCGTAAAGGTCGTTGTTGGTTGCACCGGAAGTCCCATTTTATCCACCAAGACTTGAGTTATGAAGTTAAGGGAGCTGCCACTGTCTGAGGATTGACACTTGGCGCCCTAGAATCAGCCCTGCAACTCTCATTGTTTGAGGGGACGCAAGTCCCGTAAGGGCTTGTAAGGATATTTCAGGCATGGCATTGGATTGTATTTCCCAACTTGGGTTAGATTCTCCGCAACCGGGGATGTCGTGTTCCTCTTCGACATCTGTTTGGAGGAGAAATGCTTGTTGTTTCTTTTAGTGATGGCCCGACCCAAATTTCTTTTTGCAGTTGTAACAAAGACCTTTGTCTCTGTGGGCTTGCATCTCTGCCCAAGTCAGCCGTTTGAAAGGAACCAGTGGGCCTGGGCTCAGAACTACTTCCTCCTTGTCTAGTGCTGTCGTCCTCTCTTGCTCCCTTCTTGCTTCTGGACCCCATGGTCGCTGCACCTTTCTTGCTTGACTGAACTTGTCCTCATACAATCTTGGTAGTGCTGCCGCATTGATGACCGAAGTGGGCTGCATCGCTTTCACTTCCAGTCACAGTTCTTCTTTTAGGCCGCCGACGAAGCTTCCCACCAATGCCTTCTCCGTCCATCCTTGGACTCTCACGGCCAGCCTTTCGAACTCCATCTGGTATTCTTTTACTGATCCCACTTGCCACAGTTTTGCCAAGTTTTCATCAAGATCTTCGAACCTAGATGATCCAAAACGGACAGTTATGGCGTCCGTGAAGTCTGCCCAGGTTTGATGGGGGTGCCCCCTTCGGTACCATTGAAACCAGAGGATAGCTTCCCCTTCAAGATGCGCAGAAGCCAGAGCTACTTTATCCTGTCCCGGTGTTTCATGGTAATCGAAATACCCTTCTTCTCTGAGAATCCAGGGGGTTGGGTTGCCGCTTGAGAATGTGGGGAAGTCGATTTTGGCTATTCGTGTTGTCGCCCCTATTCTGCGACTGTTTTCATTGCTGCGCTCTTCGGGGCTTCCTCTGTCAATGTTTGTTGCCCCCTGCTTCAGTCGATGGAGGAGAGCAGTGAAGCTTTCCTTCATTTCTTTGAGATCTGAAGTCATTCGATGGATCTCGACCTCCATCTGATCCACTCGGGTGTCTACTGATGTGTTTCTTGTGTTGGTCAACCTGGCTCTGATACCAAATTGTTAGGAACTTGCCTAACTCAGGGCTCTTCGAGGGGCCAACCTCCTGAATTCTTGGAAGGAGAGAGAGAGAGAGAGTTTAATGCTGAAAGAGTCCTCCCTTATTCCTTTTTTGGCTCTACTA